ACAATAAAATAAAACACCTCTAATATCTCTAAGATTCATTTAATTCTCAAGCTTTATTATACATACCCTCTCATTCTATTGGTATTTATTTTGACCACCTCTTTGTATTTTGTCCACTCTTTCACCTTCCCTCTCCATAAGTGTTTTATAGTCACTTTCCCTTTCTCTAGCGTCGTCAGGTCTAGTTGTTTCATTTTTTCTTCATAACTCATCCCTCGCAATGCTGGGATGAGCCTCGTTGCAAAACCTCCATCTTATGTGATTGGTTAGATCAGGGATTCATGATGGGGTTACCGGTTATCTTGAGTTGTGATCTCTTGAGGTTATCTTGAGATGATTTCGGGGCTTAGCGTCCCCGCGGTCCAGTCCTCGTCCAAGCCTTCTTTTTCTTACACCCCCCCAGGAAGCAGCCCGTAGCAGCTGTCTAACTCCCAGGTACCTATTTACTGCTAGGTAACAGGGGCATCAGGCTGAAAGGAAGTCTGCCCATTTATTTCCGCCTCCACCGGGGATCGAACCCGGAATTTCAGGACTACGAATCCGAAGCGCTGTCCACTCAGCTATCAGGCCCCCGGGGCGGCATACTCTATGACTTAGCCTCATGAGTGAGGTCTAGTGATACAAATGCCTCCTTATATAGAGTCCTGTATGATGTTATGACTTTCTGGTGTTGAGTATGCTGCTGGTGTTGAGTATGCTGCTGGTGTTGAGTATGCTGCTGGTGTTGAGTATGCTGCTGGTGTTGAGTATGCTGCTGGTGTTGAGTATGCTGCTGGTGTTGAGTATGCTGCTGGTGTTGAGTATGCTGCTGGTGTTGAGTATGCTGCTGGTGTTGAGTATGCTGCTGGTGTTGAGTATGCTGCTGGTGTTGAGTATGCTGCTGGTGTTGAGTATGCTGCTGGTGTTGAGTATGCTGCTGGTGTTGAGTATGCTGCTGGTGTTGTACTATTGTGTATGCGTCTCCAGAGTTAGGCTTAGTGTTATATACATATACACCTGGGAATGGATGTATATATGTATACGTATATATATATGTACATGTATGTATGAGAGTGTGTACATGTATATATAACATTAATAATTTTGTAACTAGCGTCAAAAGATTGTTATTTGCTTAGCTAAACGAACTAGAGGGTTCAGTTCCTGAACCGATTATGTGCCTCTGTAATCCTTTACACCACCGCCCACGGGATGGGTATGGGGTGCATAATAAAGAAAGAAATTGAATTGGTGTATTCTCCAGTCGTTACAGGGAGGTAGTTTCCCTCCATTGGTTTCCTGGCAGCAGTTCCCATCTCCATCACGTTATATTTGTTTGTGTTGAACTCAAGCAGCCATTTCTTGGACCAACTCTGCAGCTTGGTGAATGTAACTATGTGTATACAGCACGGTAAGTGTGTGTAACAGTACGGTGAGTTACAATGTGTATATGGCACGGTGAGTAAGTGTGTGTACGGAGCTCGGTGAGTAACTGTGAGTATACAGCTCGATGAGTTATGTTCGGGGTACGAGTGAACATGTTGAGTGCATGAGTGAACATGTTGAGTGCATGAGTGAACATGTTGAGTGCATGAGTGAACATGTTGAGTGCATGGGTGAACATGTTGAGTGCATGAGTGAACATGTTTAGTCTGTGTGTACCTCAGACCAACCCGTGTTGAGTAAATACCCGTCCCGGTGTTTGGCGGAGAGTTAAACGTGTGAGTGTGTTTATGGGGGACGGTGAGTGTATCTGGTACACAGTGTGTCCGCTACACTCCACCTCCTCTACCCCCAAATAACTCGCCCGTCTTACCTCATATAACAACCCATCCTCCTGTTAAGATAGTAGTACCTTTTTTGTAACTGTGGGCACCAATGTTCAAACATTGACGTACTTAGCAATTAGATAGTAGTATTTTGTACTAATCGTCTATATCCACCGTAGTCTGTCCAAGGTTGAAGTCCAGCTGCTAAATGCTTTGGGTTAGCTTCACCCAACTTTTGCAGGGGGGGGGGGAGGTGGTCTGGGGTACGGGATGGTCATAGGCTGGTTGGGGGTCACCAAAATTCAAGAGGGAACAGTGTGCCATATATATATATATATATATATATATATATATATGTCGTACCTAGTAGCCAGAACTCACTTCTCAGCCTACTATGCATGGCCCGATTTGCCTAATAAGCCAAGTTTTCCTGAATTAATATATTTTCTCTAAATTTTTTCTTATGAAATGATAAAGCTACCCATTTCATTATGTATGAGTTCAATTTTTTTTCATTGGAGTTAAAATTAACGTAGATATATGACCGAACCTAACCAACCCTACCTAACCTAACCTAACCTATCTCTATAAGTTAGGTTGGGTTATGTAGCCGAAAAAGTTAGGTTAGGTTAGGTTAGGTAGGTTCGGTAGCCGAAAAACAATTAATTCATGAAAACTTGGCTTATTAGGCAAATCGGGCCATGCATAGTAGGCTGAGAAGTGAGTTCTGGCTACTAGGTACGACATATATATATATATATATATATATATATATATATATATATATATATATATATATATATATATATATATATATGTCGTACCTAGTAGCCAGAACTCACTTTTCAGCCTACAATGCAAGGCCCGATTTGCCTAATAAGCCAAGTTTTCATGAAATAATATATTTTCTCTAATTTTTTTCTTATGAAATGATAAAGCAACCCATTTCATTATGTAAGAGGTGAATTTTTTTTTATTGGAGTTAAAATTAACGTAGATATATGACCGAACCTAACCAACCCTACCTAACCTAACCTATCTTTATAGGTTAGGTTAGGTTAGGTAGCCGAAAAAGTTAGGTTAGGTTAGGTTAGGTAGGTTAGGTAGTCGAAAAGCAATTAATTCATGAAAACTTGGCTTATTAGGCAAATCGGGCCTTGCATAGTAGGCTCAGAAGTGGGTTCTGGCTACTAGGTACGACATATATATATATATATATATATATATATATATATATATATATATATATATATATATATATATATATATATATATGTCGTACCTAGTAGCCAGAACTCACTTCTCAGCCAACTATTCAAGGCCCGATTTGCCTAATAAGCCAAGTTTTCCTGAATTCATATATTTACTATAATTTTTTTCTTATGAAATGATAAAGCTACCCTTTTCACTATGTATGAGGTCAATTTTTTTTTATTGGAGTTAAAATTAACGTAGATATATGACCGAACCTAACCAACCCTACCTAACCTAACCTAACCTATATATATAGGTAAGGTTAGGTTAGGTAGCCAAAAAAAGCTAGGTTAGGTTAGGTTAGGTAGGTTAGGTAGACGAAAAAACATTAATTCATGAAAACTTGGCTTATTAGGCAAATCGGGCCTTGCATAGTAGGCTGAGAAGTGCGTTCTGGCTATTAGGTACGACATATATATATATATATATATATATATATATATATATATATATATATGTCGTACCTAGTAGCCAGAACGCACTTCTCAGCCTACTATGCAAGGCCCAATTTGCCTAATAAGCCAAGTTTTCATGAATTAATTGTTTTTCGACTACCTAACCTAACCTAACTTTTTCGGCTACCTAACCAAACCTAACCTATAAAGATAGGTTAGGTTAGGTTAGGTTAGGTAGGGTTGGTTAGGTTCGGTCATATATCTACGTTAATTGTAACTCCAATAAAAAAAGTTGACCTCATACATAATGAAATGGATAGCTTTATCATTACATAAGAAAAAAATTAGAGAAAATATATTAATTCAGGAAAACTTGGCTTATTAGGCAAATCGGGCCCTGCATAGTAGGCTGAGAAGTGCATTCTGGCTACTAGGTACGACATATATATATATGCATATATATATATATATATATATATATATATATATATATATATATATATATATATATATATATATATATATATCGTACCTAGTAGCCAGAATGCACTTCTCAGCCTACTATGCAGGGCCCGATTTGATATATGCATATATATATATATATATATATATATATATATATATATATATATATATATATATGTCGTACCTAGTAGCCAGAACTCACTTCTCAGCCTACTATTCAAGGCCCGATTTGCCTAATAAGCCAAGTTTTCCTGAATTAATATATTTACTATAATTTTTTTCTTATGAAATGATAAAGCAACCCTTTTCTCTATGTATGAGGTCAATTTTTTTTTATTGGAGTTAAAATTAACGTAGATATATGACCGAACCTAACCAACCCTACCTAAAATAACCTAACCTATATTTATAGGTAAGGTTAGGTTAGGAAGCCAAAAAAAGCTAGGTTAGGTTAGGTTAGGTAGGTTAGGTAGACGAAAAAACATTAATTCATGAAAACTTGGCTTATTAGGCAAATCGGGCCTTGAATAGTAGGCTGAGAAGTGCGTTCTGGCTATTAGGTACGACATATATATATATATATATATATATATATATAATATATATATAATACCCATTTGCTTTGGTAAAGGGGCTGGGCTTGATAAAACCTTTTGAAGCTGTCGGAGGATCACTTGTTTTATGCTGTTATGGTCAAAGTATGAATAGTAGAAAATTTATGTTAATTTTCCTGAGACCCGTGCATAATGGTGTTTATTACTATACAAAAAAACAAATTTGTTTTTATATTTTTCAAAATATTTGTGTCGACAGCAGGCAGTGCCAAAAATTGTTGTGGAGGGTCAAAATGTGACTCCGTCATGTTGTTCATTCTTAAATTGTGCCAACCCCCCAAGCGGCCTATGTCAATCCCGCACCCCTGACCAGTTCCCCTGCAAAATTACGTGAGGTTTTCTCCAAGCTCCTGGTCTCCAACCTTGGATAAACAGATATCCTCCTTCATAGTTATACCAGTTACAGCCTCGCTCCTGTGCCAGGTAAGTCCACTATGGGCTCACCATAGCCCGTGCTACTTGGAACTTTTGTTCCGAGTAGCTGAATCTAAAACAACATCATAGTTATAGATTGTGACACTAACCTTTTGGGTGACGGGAGCACGTCCCTAGGGGGTGACCCATGACGCTGGTTCGATTCCCGTACTGCTCGCGGCACTAGGCACACGTGACCCCTATACACCAGTGATTGGTCGATGAAGATTAAGTCGCCCTAGAGATGGCACGGGCATGAATAGCCCGCAATACACACCATCTTTGGGTAGTATATTTATGGTGGTAGTTAGGAAGTACTGTCCTACGGGCGTCACATCTAACGCATCTTACCCAGGAAGATGTGTTGCTTAAAGCAAATCTGTTGATTAAAATGAATAATTTGAATTGATCAACTTTCTTCATCACCTTCCTGCTAATTAATGTGATCTACCTTGATGAACCGAGTGACCTTTGGGGTCTCTGTGTGTGTGTGTGTGTGTGTGTGTGTGTGTGTGTGTGTGTGTGTGTGTGTGTGTGTGTGTGTGTGTGTGTGTGTGTGTGTGTGCGCGCGTGTGTGCGTGCGTGCGTGCGTGGGGGTTCACCTGCACTAATTGACCTTCCTGTCTCGCTCAGGTGGACGGCAACAGGTTCAAGAAGGAGCGGACCGTCAAACTGATGGTCGACACCCCGTATAGGGTCGACTTCTCCTTCAAGCCCACTCAGACCATGACGTAAGTACCCTCTCCTGGTTGGCGCTCACATAGCCGGATCATTATACATTTAATACTTTTTTAATGTAAGGAGGCGAATGTTAAAACAACACAAAAAACAAAAGTACTGAAATGTAGTCCAAACATATGTTTTATGTAGGCTATTTGCTGGAAGATTGAATTTGTGTTCTTTTATTTAGGCATACAATGGGTATATACGTCAAGGGATGTGCTACATTTTTCAGTGTATATGTATATTGAAAGTTTACTTCCTTTCAGTATTATGTTGAGGGCTAAAGTATACTAATTGGCTGGTCAGTAAGTTATCGAGTTGAATTTAATAACCCTCCGAAGGTTGGTTGGTCTTTAGCTAGACCGTTTGTGTTGCGACACAACCACAGACAGTTGCTTTATTAACACAGGAGCATGTAAATATAAGCGGCTCCTCAAACCCATATAGATGGTTAGAGAGCTTGTGTCAAGACTAAGCTTTGTGGTATTAGATCCGCGATAACCGTGAGTGGGAAATAAGTTAGTTTGCCATAATATGATCCGTTTTCTGTTTCTTTCGCCGCTGCTGCCTTTTGTTGTGACCGACGGCTTCAGTGATTCCTTTAATAATAATAATAATAATTATTATTATTGTAATAATAGATATTATTATTATCTTTATCTAACATTCTCTTCTTCACTTGAGACAGTTAGGCAAGTCCCAGCTGTGTCTGGGTACAAGTGACAAGATGAACAACCCAGCGGGGTTTTTTCCTATTCTAGGAAGAAAATGTACCTGGGAAAATGTACCAAATGTACTTGGGCATGTACAACCCAGCGTGTTGTACATGCTGCTATGGCGGAGTGTCCACTCACAGGATGAGTGACGCTGCCCAATACTGTCACTATGGCGGTGTGTCCACTCACAGGATGAGTGACGCTGCCCAATACTGTCACTATGAGCCGGTCGGCCGAGCGGACAGCACGCTGGACTTGTGATCCTGTGGTCCTGGGTTCGATCCCAGGCACCGGCGAGAAACAATGGGCAGAGTTTCTTTCACCCTATGCCCCTGTTACCTAGCAGTAAAATAGGTACCTGGGTGTTAGTCAGCTGTCACGGGCTGCTTCCTGGGAGTGGAGGCCTGGTCGAGGACCGGGCCGCGGGGACACTAAAAGCCCCGAAATCATCTCAAGATAACCTCAAGATATGGCGGTGTGTCCACTCACAGGATGAGTGACGCTGCCCAATAAACTCGCCCTTCGGGGCAAAATGAATAAAACTAATTCGACTTTTGTCTTAAACATCTGTTTAATAATAATTTGTATTATAATATGTAATTTTGCCCCGAGGGGCGAGTTTATTGGGGAGCGCCACTCATCTTGTGAGTGAACACACCGCCATAGTGACAGTATTGGGCAGCGTCACTCATCCTGTGAGTGGACACACCGCCATAGTGACAGTATTGGGCAGCGCCACTCATCCTGTGAGTGGACACACCGCCATAGTGACAGTATTGGGCAGCGCCACTCATCCTGTGAGTGGACACACCGCCATAGTGACAGTATTGGGCAGCGTCACTCATCCTGTGAGTGGACACACCGCCATAGTGACAGTATTGGGCAGCGCCACTCATCTTGTGAGTGGACACACCGCCATAGTGACAGTATTGGGCAGCGCCACTCATCCTGTGAGTGGACACACCGCTGTAACACTGTAAAAGTGTTTGGGTTAGTTTATTTAAAATATATATAGAATATGAGTCACAGACGGATTTGGAAAGGCGCCAGTTGTCTGCCTGAGATCTCACACCTCAAAGCGTTAATGACCTCAAGTGACCTGAGGTCAGATCATGAGAATTTCACCTTGCTTCCGCTAAGCTCTTAATTGTAGTCTGGTAGCCTTCAAACAAGCCGACGTTTGAGGAGTGGCTTGGTAGTGCCGGAGGCTATCTACTTGTGGGCGGAGTTAGCTACTAGGTTCCCCAATATAAACTCGGAGAGCTATCCAGCAGAAAAGGATTAACAGACAGAACAGCAGACGAGAGCAGAGACGTCCCTATCAGGGAGGCTGTCGGCCGGCAAGGGCGGGAGTCTCTGTCAACTACAGACCCCCCCCCCCCCCTCTCTATTCAACTTAGACTCAGTCCTCGGTGAGTGAACATTAAGGTGACTTGGTCGTGTTTACATATGTTGTGTGATGATCAGGGGCAGTCAAGTTGTAGGGTTCTCGAATTCTTGGATAATGACTCTCTTTAACATTTTAATTGAATTGCTACATTATGATACTTCATGTGAAATATAATTATGAATTTATTATTTAAATTGTGTTTAACTTTGTTCCCTAGAGCTTTGAGTTGAGGTGAGAAAGCCTCGGTGGTTACTAGATTCAAGATATTAATGAGTACTTGTTTGGAGTTGATACATGGTACAGAGGGAACATACTAATAATGAACTCATGATAACATCCTTGGAGAATTTTGTGATACAGGCAAGTTCCATTCCTTGTCTTGTATGTAATGATCATGAATGGATGGTGGCAGCATTTCGTCTTCTACTATCTACTCTTCTACCTATCTACTCTTCTCCTTCTACCTATCTACACCTCTCCCTCCACCCCTCTCTAAACTCTCACTTTCAACTAATGACCATCCTCGCCCCTCCCACCTCTCTCCCTCTCACCCCAAACCCTCACTAATTACTTCACTATTCATTTCTTTCCTTTCGCTTTCTCTTATACGTTTTGTGGCAATGATTCTGTATTCTAGAGTTCTCTCTAGAGTTTCGGGTAGCTGATCCAGTTACGGCGCCTTGTAGTCTTAGCACCTAGGTAGTCAAATACCTAGGTTACAAGGTGTTGAACGAGAGAGGTTGCCTTAGGAACTCTGGAGGGTGCTCTAGAATAGTTAGCTAACTGGGGACGGGATAACGGACTAGAGAGAGCTGTTTCCCCCGGCCTCGTTAGTTAACTGGGGGGTGGAATAATGGACAAGATAGAGCTATTTCCCCCACCCCCCGTTACAATGATGGCAGCGGTGTTGAACAATGTTTAAGGTATTGGTGTTCTTTTAACATTGTTCAGTCCCACGTGTCTTTTTGCCGCTCAGGCGCTATCAGGGAGATCTTGACAGGTGTTTTATATTCGCGAGTTAGCGAGCTTTTTTTTCAGTTTAGGAGATAGTGATTCTCTGGTGTTGTGTTTAGTGATTTTGTGAGTTTTGTGTAGTTCAGGGAATGTTCACCAGAACTTGCGTGTGTAGTGATTTATGTTAGTAATAAGATTTGGCGATTTGGGAACTTAGCGGTGTTGGTAGTGCAGGTCACCTGAGTGTGACAGGTGACCTCGCATGTCCCACGGGGACACCCAGCCACCGCTGGTCTCCAGGTCAGTGGGGAGTGGCAGGTGTAGTTCTTAAGTAGTTTTTAAGTGGTGGTTCTGCTCAGATTATTGCGATCGACTGTTTTACTCCATTTGAACGCAATAACCCGAGGTGTACTGGTATTGTACAGCATGCTAGTGTGGACTAGTGTGTCAGTAGACTTCACGTTGGGGACGCTCGACGTTAGATAGTCTGGTCACAGGGGTGACAACAGTTTGGGAGTTGTTTACCGGCGGAGAAGCTAGGGAAACACTCTGGGTCACGTAGGTGGCTGTAGGTTAAGGGTGGGAGTAATGGTTAATTATGTACTTAAGATTAGGAACGGTACAGTTAAGTTTAGGCTAGTGTTTTGTCTATTAGTGTTGATTTTTTTTTGTGACAAGTTAAAAGTAGTGATGACCTTATTCTCTCTTCTCTAACTTTACTCTGTTACTGTTTTATGTTCCACCAAGTCAATATCATTCAGAGTTAATTGAATTATTAAAAATTGAAGTGTAGTTGTTGCCAGGAGGAGAGCGGTATGATAGGACTGTGTAACCCTATACAAACGACAGGGTCACACAAACATCTTGGGAACACGTATTGTCGCCTTTCTGTTCATTTCACAGGTGGGAGCCAGAAGAGAGGAGAGACGCACATACAGAAGAGGGAGACGGCTGCCTTATACCACACTCACGGCTGTTCCTCACCACCACGACGACCAGCCCCTACCTGGATGTCAGGGCCACCACCACCACCACCACCCCAGGGGACCCCAAGATGCAGCCCTCTCGGTCGGTCAACATTGGTCTACCCAGTGGACCCCAAGACGGACGGACCCCAGTGGACCCCAAGACGGACGGACCCCCAGTGGACCCCAGGTCGTTCTGCAGACGACCCCAGACGACCCAGTAATGATGGAAGAGGAGCAACAACGACTCCAGTCTGTCCCACCAACATCGGTCTACCCAGGATGGACCCCAGGACGGACAGACCCCCAATGGACCCCAGGTCGCTTGTCAAAGACCCATGGGAGGAGGAAGAGAGAAGAAAGAAGAAAGAAGAGAGAAGAAAGAAGAGAGAAGAAAGAAGAGAGAAGAAAGAAGAAGATAAGCCAAGCTGAGACACGATACCTAGTGTCCCTTGCTGGTGTCAGCATTATTGCATGGAGCGTAATTGCAAGACAGGATCGTTTGCCTTGACTGGCCGCCCCTCCTACAAGCATGTTGCTCTGTTGAGTGATTCTTCCTGTGTCATGCGGACTTGATGTGGCTGTCAGAAGTAGCTCTCTGAAGGAGGCGTGCTGGAGCAACAGGGAGGAAGAAGAGTAGG